TGGCGGCTCCATCCACATGGTGTTTTCCTATTACTCTGAGTTTCTGGCCCAGGAGAAACAAGGAAAGCATCTGAGCTGGCTCTGCATGTTCTGGATGATCGGTGGGATCTACGCCTCCGCCATGGCCTGGGCCATCATCCCACACTATGGTGAGAACAACAAACAGATCACTCAGTCAGGAAATCATTGTTTCAGACAATATGTAGTTGATGTTAGTCAACCAGCTCAACAGCCTGTAACCTTAACCATTTTATTTTACACCACAAAATGGGATCATTTCATTGGACAGGGGTGGAATCTAACTACCTATATTTACTTAAGACTTTTTCTAATTACAGTTTTGAGGTACTTTTACATATTATCCTATTTTATACTTCCACTTTACTTAATTTCAGATGGAAATATTAATATTTACAAGAGCTTTTTAAGTTACAGATGAACATTTAAAAAAATGTGATCAACTTCTAAAATATAATGCATTTTAGAGGTTAATCAACCCATTCTCATTTTGATTGGCCCCAATCATAATAAATAGTAATAAATATATAATAAGGAAGAGATACTATTCAATACTTATTCCACCACTGCCTTTTGATGCTTCACTATGGAACAACTACATTAGTGGCTCTCAGGGTTCAGAGATTTTCAGCTGTGTTTGAGTGGGTTGCAAAACAAGAATTACCTTAATTTTCATCTTGTTTACTTCAGTCACCAGCAGCATCTTAATAAGGTTAGGTATAATCACAACTTCTTTGATCAGTGATTTAGGCCTTTCTACTAACAGTGCGTTAGTGGTATAAAATTGAAGTTAGAGGAGTAACCAGATACCAGACTGGATGTTTTCAGCAGCTATACAAATAGTATAGCACAAAAAAGAACAGCTGTGTAATGAGCTTCTTTACATACATGATCCTGCTCGAGCCTTCATCCAGAGAGAGGCTGGTCTAAAGCATGTATGTTTACTGTAGATGTTTCAAGGCTAGGCAATCATTTATTTTCGTTGTAGCTGTTTTGTCTGGGGCTATAAGATCTAAGCATCGTAGTTTTATTGTAGATCTTTATTTAAAAAAAACAAATAAATAAGATCTCAAAGTAAGCTAAACATTTCAAATATTTTAACAAGTCTAATCCCTACATAACTCATGAAACATTTGTACATCATGATTAGTCATAAATAGCTGTGATCATATTTAATGACTACACAAAGCCAAATCTGTACAGTGTTCCAACAAAGTCTGAATATTTTGTTTAGAATTTTGTTTCTCATGGTCTGAGAGTCTTTCAGGTGCTTTTTGGGAAACTCCAGGTGGGCTGCCATGTGCCTTTTACTAAAGAGTGGCTTCCGTCTGGCCACTCTACCATTACAGGCCTGATTGTTGGAGTGCTGCAGCGATGGTCGTCCTTCTGGAAGGTTCTCCTCTCTCCACAGAGGAACCCTGGAGCTCTGTCAGGGTGACCATCAGGTTATTGGTCACCTCCCTAACTAAAGCCCTTCTCCCCTGATAACTCAGTTTAGAGGGACGGCCAGCTCTAGGAAGAGTCTGGGTGGTTCCAAACTTCTTCCATTTACGGATGATGGAGGCCACTGTGCTCATTGGGGCCTTTTAAAGCAGCAGAAATGTTTCTGTACCCCCAGATCTGTGCCTCGATACAATCCTGTCTCAGTGGTCTACAGACAGTTCCTTGGACTTCATGCTTGTTTTGTGGTCTGACATGCACTGTTAACTGCGGGACTTTCTATAGACAGGTGTGTGCCTTTCCAAATCAGGTCCAATCAACTGAATTTTCCCCAGGTGGATAATTAAGCTGCAGATCCAGAATCCCACCAATTTCCTTGATCGCAAAGGCTGTGAATACTTATGTACAAGTGATTTCTTCATTTTTTATTTTTAATAAATTTGCAAAAATCTAAAAGAACTAAATGCTTCAATGTCTTAATGTTCAGGGTTGACTATTATTTGATTTTAGGGCTCTGACTTTTATTGGAAATGAGGACTTTAGTTCAAATGGTTGAAAATAATGTGATACTGACTGTAATGACCTGTTTGAATTCAACATTTACAGTCTGTGAGGGAAACACACAGGTTGAAGTAGTTTGCCTTGTGGACCAACAGAGGGCGCTATTGGAATTAAATATCAGTTTGTCATAATAATAAATCAGAATGTAACATCTCACATTCAGATGGTCTCTCAGTATAAGTGATAAATGAGTTGTCATATAAAATGTAGATATTATTGCACAAAGGGATGCAGTCAGAGTGCTCATACAGTCGCTGTAGGTTGTTCTTACTGTGTCTAATGTACCTGCAGTTACTGCAGTGAGTCATCACTGGAAACAGGAAAAACTGTTATCCGTTCCAAAGGCACAGCTAAAAAGCCCAAATAAACACTTGAGTTGTATTAAGTACCGTATTGGTGAATATATGATATGTGTAATATATGAAATAAAACAGATATATTACATATATCGAATATACGGAATAGGAAAATATATATATGCTGGAAGTATTGAGGTCATTCTTTTACATTTTCTCAGACGTGCCTTTGACTGATTTTGGAAATGTATTACTGCACTTTAACTGTCTTTCTTCTATTTGTATGTTATTTTATTTGATCTCATTTCTACTCTGTCTTGCTTATTGTTTTGAGTGTTAGTCTCACTCTCTGACTAAACTTCATTCATCCTCTCAAACTGTTCGTTGTACTGTACTTTCATAAGTTGTTACTTGGACTCATCGTCTTATTAAAATCATATAATCCTGTTTATCTGTGTTACTGTAATTTCTGAGTGAAAGTTCAACAGTCAAATATAAGTTTACTGAAGGTTTTACAGTGTAAATACAACCCTCCTTGTCTCTGCTGTAGACATGTTTCACAGCAGCCATTTTGATATTAAATAGTTGGGTAAACACAGGTCCTCATTCTCTCCAAAGTTGATCAAATCAAGATGATATCTTCCAAAGTTTCATTCTTTTTAGTACAAAATGTCCTATTTGTGTTACTGTCCAATGCATCCGGTCCAGCTCTACAAGTGAAATTTGGTGGGTTGCAGCCGTTGACAGTTTATTGCAGCAGTATTAATGACACAGGACACATTAACGAGGAGACCTATGTGATTTATGTCTTTTTAAATGTTTATTAATGGAGATTCAGGCCACAGAATCCACCAAATATGGCCTTAAAAAACTGTAAACCGGTGTTTGTCAGATGTATAAAATCAATCATACATTAGATGTAAATGTCACTTTGATTAATAACATTTTATATTGAATATTCCTATATTCCTAATATGAATGCAAATGGTTGTAAACTGTCAACTGCAGTAAAAACTCTGGGAAACAGTTTGATCACTGCATTTTCCTGCCACTGAGAAAGATAAATAAATTGAGAACAACAGCTGGAGACATTCTTACAAACAGTTGTCTGTGTGCCACATGAGACGAGAGCTAACACTGCCCTCTGGTGGACAGGTGTTTCACTGCAACATTACACACTAAATGTCTGTAACTTAACATAGTCTGTACCCTCATATTACATATCGGAAACATACATAATGTTAACTGATTGTACATAGTAGTTTATAGGTAATACAGAGCCAAAGTAACACAGAGTAGCACAAAGCAATGAGCTAACTATTCCAACATGGAGGCTTTAACTGTAATTTGACTTTTAATGTAACAGAGAGGTGAGTTAGTTTTCAGTAACACACTCATATTTAGCAGCACTAATGAACTCAGAATGAATTTGTAATGCCGAACCATAATAAATGTCCACCTGGCAGAGTAACTAGAGCTCAGCTCCCACACAATCACATATAATGACAACTATATGTGAGAGTGAGTCCTTAAATGAGGAGCTGTTTGTACAGTAACTTTGGAATATATCTGTTTAATTTGTCTAACTTGACATATCTGACACAGGGAGGTTTGTTTGACGAGTATGAGGAAAAATAAAGATTTCTCTGTTTTAATGTTCATATGGGCACCTGACAGTTGGACTTTAAAAGTTGTGAACCTTTCCTATAGAGGGGGAAACAACATACAGTGAACAAAGTGAGTGAACACGAGCTTCCAGAACAGCTTCAGTGCTCTTAGTCATAAATTCTGTGATAGAGTGATAAACAACATTTTATCAGAATATATTGATTGATGTACTGATGTTGATTTTAAGTTGAGGTTCTATTGTGTGAAAGTATCTTTATTTAAGTTTGTCCTGTAATTCATCTTCTGTCTTTGTGTCCGTTTGTATTTTGCATTTAATAATCCGACTCTGGAAGGGAACTAGAGCTCAGATATTTGTATCAAATATACACAAACTAACAGTTAATATCTGGATTTCTGCAGTTTAATTCAATTTAATTCAATATAATAATGTCAGTTAGGGCTAGGGTTATAGGGTCACTGCTTCATTTATTACGCTGAAGATGCTCCACTGCACCCTCTGTTGGATTATTCTGTGAGAATAAAATCAACTGTTGGTACATTTGAGGTGTCGTTTGTGTCATTTGGAACAGAGATTCATCCATTAAGAGACAAACACAAGAGGAAAATCTATGATTCACGTTCATTATTCATCATTATTACTTTATGTGGAAGAACAGGGACATTTGAGATGTTATCTTTTGACAACTAATTTAAAAATCACATCTCATTACCTTTACACTCTGATGGTCTCCTTTAAAATATACAGGATTTGTATTAAAATACATAAATTGTATAACTCCTAAAGATCAACTGTCTATGAGTCTATAAAGCTCTATGAGGAAATATCATCCAAGGGTTTTTATTTAGTTTTAATAGTTCATTAGGATCAGTGGAGCAATAGTTTTTCAGCCCACAAATCTAATAATCCAATCACTACTCTGATTTCTGCTCCTGTACAAGGTAAACCAATCAGCTTTGTGGCAGTGGGCGTTCCTGTTTTCGTAAACCAATCAGCTTCGTGAGTGTTCCAGCGCAATAGAGCTTCTCCACTGCGTCTGCAGACTCCACTGTAAATTATTAAAAGCAGGAAACTCACTTTCACTTCAGTTTCCTGACTGTGACGCCGGTTTTTTCCACCATCTAAAGGTTTGTAACTACGTGTTTTTTATACTTTAATTAATTTTATTGTATCATCCGTTTATTCTGTTACTTAATCTATAAAACAGTAAAACCAGGTCTGAATTCTGTTTATTGTTGGCGTTTAAATAAGTAAAAATAAAGGTTGTTGTCCGTTTGAGGGTCGGAGGTAAATTAAGAAAGCCAAAAAACAAGTTATCTATGTGTTTTCTGTTATTTTGTTGAACTTCTACAGTTTGATCTGCTTCAGTTGACGATTATTAAAGAATAATAAAGTTAACAGAAGATGAAACTTGTGCTCTGAACATGTTTACAGTGTAATACAACCTGGGAGCACTTTGACTGTCTGCTGCAGCTCTTCCTCACATATTACATAAAGTATTACAGCATCTCAGTAGAAGTGATGAAGTACGATAAGTTCTTATATAAAATGTAGATATTATTGCACAAAGGGATGCAGTCAGAGTGCTCATACAGTCGCTGTAGGTTGTTCTCACTGTGTCTAATGTACCTGCAGTTACTGCAGTGAGTCAGTGTGAGGACACAGAGGAGGAGGTTCTCCTTCTGAAACCTCTCTGTGTGAACTACATCCCAGAGTCACAGATCAGCACTCAGCTCTCCACAAGAAACCCCTTGACAAATAATCTTCATCACAACATGAAACTGACTGGGCTGAGCTTAAATTGCGCAATAAATTCTCAGCTTGGCAGTAACCTACTATCATATTACTTCTCTGCCAACATCAACTGTGTGAACAAGTCAATGTTAGCTTTGTGTCTGTGGGCCAGAAGCCCACCAGGCTGTGTTATCTCTACAACTCGGCTAAAACTTAATGTAAAAATAGACTGAGCCCTACAAAGAAACTGTTTCTATCTTGCAAGCAGGCAGGCATTTCAAAGTTTCAAACAAAGTTAGAACATTTAGAAACAATGGCCACAACATAACCCTAGTTAAAGTATCGAGTAGCACAGTAAAAGTATAAATTAGCTTTCAGTACTTCATTTCAGTAGATGGGTAAAGCACTATATTATTATTATATTCCTCCACTGTAATCTGGTTCTTCAGGTGCCCAAATACACAATCACACAGTGTAACACTTCTCTGTACAGCCCTGAAACTGAATACTGACTGTTGGTCTCTGGAGTAGTTTCACTTTTTGGGTCTTCCTGTGTCGCAGTTTGTTTTTCACCATCTAACGGTAAAGTAACTACATGTTTTCTATACTTTAATTCAACTTATCTTCAGGGTCTGTGTATCATCACTGTAATCAGTTAATTTAACTGAACTTGAACAACTTAAAACCAGAACAACGGGTCAGAATATTGTTTATTGTAGGCGTCCAAAAACAGGAAATGAATGTGTTCTTTGTTCTTGGATAAAGGTGATAAAACTAAATAAGAAAAATAATTTCAGTTATTTTGTTTTGCTTCAGCACTTTAATCTGTGTTTGACAGTTATTTCTGTGGTTAAACCGACGATGTGATACAAAAAAGCCACCATGCTGCAAATACAAATAACAATTTAGATTCAAAACATTAAAAACTATATGTAAATATGTTTGCAAGGCTAAACAAACAAACAAACAAACAAACAACAAAATAAGTCAGTCCCATCCGGGTTTTTTTTTTCCCCTTTAATATTTTTATTGTGAACAAATCTGGATTTTGTATCATCTGACTACAACTAAAACAGAACAGAAAGAAATATTGAACTTGTAATAATCATTCTTCTGTTTACACTGCAGCTTGCAATGAGTCAGTGTGAGGAGACTGAGGAGGTAGTCGATCCTCCTGAAACCTCTCTGTGTGAACAACATGGCCGCCAGACTGAAGCTCAGAGGTGAGGATGAAGATCTCGAACTGACTGACTGTGAGAGTTCTCCAGTTCACTCCAGAGTCAGAGATCAGCACTCAGCTATTGCTGTGTGATCTGTTTAGACAACTACTTGCTGTTTGAATAGACATATATATGAATAAACAATGACAATGAATAATGAAAGTAATTCAAAAGCAAATATTGGGGCTTTTGAACCTTTATAATATATATAATATATAATCAATCAGACTTTATTTGTAACACAGAGTGCTTCACACATTAAAACAGAATCCATTTTACTGAACTTTTCTGACGTCTACTTCTTAGTTTCAGTTGTCTTATGATCCAATTTCTTCTTTTCTTGTCTACTAGAGTTCCTCTGAAACCTAAAGCTTCCACTGGATCCGAATGTTTGAGTTATTGGTCACAAGATCACATCAATGCAGAAGTGGAGTCAGGGTAATCGTAATATTGATTCATTTATCAACATTTAGTACAGACACACATTACATGTAGAAGCTCTTTTGTCTTTTTCCCACTCACTGTTCTCATATTTGAAATCCTGTTTCTTTAGTTTTTAATGTTTATTTTCATACTGATGAAGGAGTTTCATAACACTGTTTATTACTTTCTGCAGGGTGGACTACAGTTCTTCCTCAGAGGATGAGGGTGTTGTGCCAGATGATGTTGATCAGTGAGTATAATCTGTTAACCTCATAAAGATTCTTTCACACATAATATATTGATGAAGCTGTGAACATCATTAAAACCTCTTTAGTTTAGTTACATTCATCTTTTCTGTCACTTGTATCTGTTGTATCCACACTGACACTGAAGTTCAATCAACTTTATTTTATTGAAGATCAACAACAGTAAATATTATAATATATAACCCTCATAATGTTCCTGTTGTCCTAGAATAATCTAATAATAATTCATGTTAAAGTGAGAAGTAGAGGAAACTACTTTAAAAAGAGGAGAGAAATCATTCAGTGGGAACTTGGTAGTTTCTGTGTATCAGCAGTTGCTGTGGCTAATTTACCACCCTGGTGGTCTTTGTCTGCAGGTTGCAGTCTGAGAAAGAAAGATCAGGTCAATGGGACATTGATTTCAGGTAAGCTCACATAAAAACTGCATTCATTATCATGTTAACCTCTCACAGACACACACACACACACACACACACACACACACACACACACACAACACACACAACCTCAGTTAGTGTTGAATAAACTTTATTGAGGTAAACTTCGTGCTCATGCTTTAAAGAAGTGTGTTGATGTTGGTAGAAACAGGAAAGAAAGCGTGGTCTCCAGTGTTAGCGTGCTTTTTAAATCATTCATCCACCACAACCTCCTTTCTACTCTGAGCTCAAGGTGACGTTTTTTACCACTGTCATTCCAGTAGGAACCATCTGGTTTTATAAATGATGGCATATTGATTCAAAATGCCAGGATTTGTCATCATAAATTGAACAAAACAAACAAACAAACAAACAAACAAACAAATCATCATTGTGGTATGTGCAAGGTGTCCAACCTTCATCAGCTCTTTAGGTCTGAGGCATGTGAACAGTTGTGATTAGGAAGCGTCAGCTGGTGCCAGTTTCAACCCTTCAGATTTGGGTCACTTGTGTTTGCAGTGTGAAAGTAGCCAAAATGTCTAAATATTCTCTCCCTTCCCTTTCTCTCTTGTCTACCATCAGGAGGGATCAGTCAAAGGAAGACATCAATGTCAAAGAGAAACGCTCTTCTGTCAGGTAAACTTTTATGAACATTAAAATGTAACATGCATTTTACACTCATACAAGTCTGATTATCCAGTTTGAGACAATAAACATCATACTATCTTAAATGTCTCATATCATCTCCTGTATGTGAAGCTCCAAATATCGTAATTAGACACATAATAAGATCATAGTAGGTGGTGAACAAGCTGGTAGGACCGGAGGTAAACATTTTAAAGAAAGACACTCCTCTCCTAAAAAGAAGTGTTTACTGATATTAAAATGTTGATTCATTTATCAACATTTAGTACAGACACACATTACATGTAGAAGCTCTTTTGTCTTTTTCCACTCACTGTTCTCATATTTGAAATCCTGTTTCTTTAGTTTTTAATATTTATTTTCATACTGATGAAGGAGTTTCATAACACTGTTTATTACTTTCTGCAGGAAGAAGCGGAAGAAAACATTGTGAGTATAATCTGTTAACATCATAAAGATTCACACATAATATATTGATGAAGCTGTGAACATCATTAAAACCTCTTTAGTTTGGGACTTCCAGGTTAGCACATGGAGTAGCCAGACGCAAGGTGAGATCGCTCTCCCAGACAAACTGCAATTTACACCCAAACTAACTTAAAATTCAGTATTGCACAATAAGGAAGATAGATGGATTGGGGAAGAACACTTAGAAGCCAAAAAGTCCATGAAAGAGAGCCTGTAAAACAAAAAAACATGACGACAGCCAGAAACAGCGTTGGTAAAGTGGATCAAGTCAGCATGGCGCCTGTAGACATAATTAAGGCGATTAACGACCTCAAAACTGATCTAAAAGGCGATAACAATAGTCTACGACAAGAAATTACTCATTTTGGACAAGAAATCAACAGTAAACTGGATATGCTTGGGGCAGAAGTACGCAACCTATCGAACCGAGTGCAAGAAGCAGAGTCCAGGGTCGAGAGATGGGCGGTTGAAACGACCGAGGCCCTGAGCACCTGCCTGAAACAGCAAAAAGCCCTGCAACATAATCTAAACGATCTAGGGTCACGCTCCAGAAGCAATAACATCCGCATCTCTGGAGTGGCAGAAGGGGAAGAGGGAGAAGACTCGGTACCAGAGTTTTTAGAGGCGCAAGCTGCCGACCGGGGACGGCATGGAGTTGAAAATACAACAAGCATTCATAATCAATTTCCAGGAATTCGCAACCAAAGAATGGGTTTTAAAGGAGGCGTGGAATAAAACCAAGTCCTTGCCCCGGTACTACTGGAATCATTTAATTGACACTTGAGAAGGCTATAGCCCCACCATCCTGGAGGGATGCTCTGATTGCTGTCATTCCCAAAGAGGGGAAAAATAAAGAATACTGTGAGTCATATCGCCCAATATCGATTCTGAATGTAGATTATAAACTGTTCACATCCATTATCACTAAAAGACTGGAGTGTTTTCTGCCTGACCTGATACACGAAGACCAGACAGGCTTTGTAAAGGGACGCCAAACACATCAGGCGCACCCTTCATATTACAGACCATGTTAATAAACACCGTATAAGCGCTGCCCTGATCAGCTTAGACGCTGAAAAAGCGTTTGAGAGGGTCAGCTAGGATTTTTTGTATAGAGTACTAGAGAGGATGGGATTCAATGATAAATTCATTAAATGTATAAAGGCATTGTATACTTGACCCATCAGCCAGAGTTAAAATCAATGGACACCTGACAGACACTTTTAAATTGGACAGAGGGACACGACAAGGTTGTTGTGCTAGTCCCGCCCTCTTCACGATCTTCATAGAGCCACTTGCTCAAATAATTAGACAAGAGGACAAGTTGACAGGAATCACGATAACAAGAGATGAAAACAAAACAGGTCTATTTGCTGACGATATAATTACCTTCCTTCAAGACCCAAATACAACGTTTACTAAATTAGTAAAGATAATGGAAGAATATGGATTGATGTCAGGCTACAAATTCAATATGTCAAGAACTCAAGTTTTTACTTTCAATTACAACAAGCCAAATAAAGAAATCAAGGAGAGATATGATTTAAATTGGAATGCTAAGTCAATAAATACCTAAGAGTGATAATAATGCAGGAATTCGACAGAATTTACGAGACAAATTACAAACTAATAAACGATAAAATGCAAAGAGATGTGGTAAAATGGTCAGCACTAGTAATGGATTTAAGCTCAAGAATTGAGGTGGTCAAGATGAACCTCTTGCCTAGGTTATATCTTTTTCTGTTGCTCCCAGTTAGAGTACCAGATTCACAATTCTCAGCATGGGACAGGTTAATTTCCAGGTTCATCTGGGTGGGAGCCAGGCCTAGGATAAGTCTCAAGACCCTTCAGCTAGACAAAGAAAATGGAGGATTGGCTTTGCCAAACTTTAGAGAATACTACTATGCTGCACAATTAAGATATGTAGTATATTGGTGCTCTTCAAGTTATCAAGCCAGATGGAAGGACATTGAGATGAGCCTGGATCTGGCCCCTCCACAGTCAAGGTTAAGTGGAAAAGAGCATATGGTTCTTCTTAAGGGTGAAAACTTGATTATGAGGGAAACATTTGAAATATGGTATGATGTGGTAAAAAAAATATAAGTTAACAGGAGACAGTAAGCTGTTGATTTGGCCTTCTCACACCTCCAGGTTCAGACCAGGAACGTTAGACAAGACCTTTGAGAAGTGGAGAGACAAAGGAATAACAGCTATATGTACACTTGTAGATAAGCATCATTTAAAATTATTTAGACAACTTAAAAATAAGTTTGGATTGGAAATTGGATATTTATTTAGATGTCTTCAATTAAGACACTTTTACGAGACAGAAATTAAGAAGGAAATCTCATTGGAAGAGAATGATGTGATTGAGGTGCTGACAGGTGCGTATAAGCAAACTCCTTCAAGAATTGTCTCTAAACTGTACAAAGGTTTATTGAAGCAACAGGGAAGAAATACAGTGTATATAAAAGTGAAATGGGAAAAAGAATTTAACATTAAGCTGTCTGGGAGTGATTGGCAGTCCATATTTAAGACCCAACATACATCAACAAGCTCTAAAAGATGGAGGGAGATTGGTTGGAGAAATTTAACAAGTTTTCTTATTACACCAAAAATTAAAAATAAACAATTAGGTCAACAACAATACTGAGACAGTATGGTAGTAGTAACTGAGACAATGTGGGCAACTGAATGCCAACCACTCTCATATATTTTGGTCATGTATAAAATTACAGTCATTTTGGGAAGGGGTTCTGAGAGCCTAGGGTGACATTTTTGGATATAATATTCCTAATGAGCCCCGGTATATATATCTAGGACTGATACCAGACGATGTAATAGGTAAAGAAGACTTATACCTGTTCAAGATCCTATCTCTTGCTGCTAAGAATGCCATTACAAGAAGTTGGCTGAGAACTGACCCACCTGGACTGAGCCACTGGCTGGACATTGTAGAAGAAATTCGATCAATGGAACAAATGACCTATAGTCTGCAAATTAAAACGGAGCTATATACTGTAAGATGGTCAAAATGGTACTTGTATGGGACAAAGTAGTGTTTACCCCCCTTGTGTTTTTGTATTTTTGTACCTGTTTTTTTTTTTTTTTTTTTGGATTGATTGAAGAAAAAGAAGAAAAAGTAAAAAAAAAAAAAAAAACTCTTTAGTTTAGTTACATTCATCTTTTCTGTCACTTGTATCTGTTGTATCCACACTGACACTGAAGCTCAATGAACTTTATTCTATTGAAGATAAAAACAACAGTAAATATTATAATATATAACCCTCATAATGTTCCTGTTGTCCTAGAATAATCTAATAATAATTAGGGCTGGGCAAGTTAATGTGTTATTATCGCGTTAACACATTAATAAATTAACGCAGACTATTATTTTATCTCGCATTAATGCAGTTTTTTAAAATTATTATTATTCTTTTAAAAGTCCGTTGCTCACTGTAATATAATATAATATATAGATAGTGTGTGTGTTTGTGTGTGTGTGTGTGTGTGTGTGTGTGTGTGTGTGTGTGTGTGTGTGTGTGTGTGTGTGTTGTGCTACAGCCCAGACAGGCCAGGATTCAGTTTCCCTATGGAGCGCTACAGGCCAACATTCAGACATGGATTATCAGCCAACGTCCTTTCTACAGTGTAAGTCATCATTGTGTTACTTTATTACTTTAATATCTATGTTAGCTGACACGCTGCTATTGCTGTGTGATCTGTTTAGACAAATACTTTTCACTAGTGCTCATCAAAATGACTGCAAATATTATAATATGTAACCCTCATAATATTCCTATTGTCCTAGAATAATCTAATGATAAACTATAATAATAGTAACAAACAGTGTCTATTACTTGCTGCAGGTCGTGGTTGCAGGAACATCATGAATGGATGTTGGAACCTCAGGATCTGTGAGTATAATCTGTTAACCTCATAAAGATTCTTTCACACATAATATATTGATGAAGCTGTGAACATCATTAAAACCTCTTTAGTTTAGTTACATTCATCTTTTCTGTCACTTGTATCTGTTGTATCCACACTGACACTGAAGTTCAATCAACTTTATTTTATTGAAGATCAACAACTGTAAATATTCAGACCTTTGCAGCCTCATAATGTTCCTAATAGTCAACAGCTCACTGTTTGATCATTTACTGGTTCAAGGCTCTCAACAGAAAGGGAGATCTCACTGAGTCTGAACAGCCAGACTGAAGCTCGTAGACAACAGTCAGTCAGAGTTAGTTCAGGGTCATGAGCTCTACTAAGTGAACTACTGGGGCTCTCCACACTTCACCACTTCAACCTGTGTGTGTTGTTTTACAGTGAGAGCTACTGGTCAACAGACAGCACTGGATCATGGGACATGGAGTAAGTAATTATTGTGTAACTTTAATATTTTATTATCTATGTTAGCTGATGTGCTGCTATTGCTGTGTAGACAAATAACTGTTACCTTCTGTTTGTCAGTATTATTTATTTCTGGTTTCTTATTTGAGCATATTTCACACTGACAGACACTAAAGTCAGTAATATCAACTTTATTTTATTGAAGATCAACAACTGTAAATATTATAATATGTAACCCTCATAATGTTCCTGTTGTCCTAGAATAATCTAATAATAATTCATGTTAAAGTGAGAAGTAGAGGAAACTACTTTAAAAAGAGGAGAGAAATCAGCCTGATTATCCAGTCTGGGACAATATGGACAGTAAGGTTTAGGCTTGGATTTGGCCCCTGCCTGTGTAGGCTCTTCCCCGGTTGTCTCTTCCCTGTTTACCTTCTCAGTGGCATTGAAGCACACAGTCAGCTTCTCTTGGGTTGGGTGATTCGCTGATCCTTCCTAGCCGGTCAGGGGGTCTCGGCTGCTCGACTTGAGATGCGCTTTGCTTGAGACTTTGTTTTGAGCCAGGTAGCCAAGTCCTGAAGGGTGTAGGTCCTGTCGGTGCCAGTCTGCGGAATACTGTATTGCAGGCAATGCTCAACGAAGCCATTGCGGTAGGTGGGTCTTCTGCAGCCAATCAGATGTCTCACTCCTTTACAGCCAATCACATGGGTGCCTCCCCATGGAAACATGTTTCCTTTTTTCGCTTCCGTCTCCTCTGGTCCATCTAGATCCATATCATTCTAGATCCGTTGTGCCCTGTTATGACGTCAGTTAAAAACCCCTCGTGGGGAGGCACTCATGTGATTGGCTGTAAAGGAGTGAGACATCTGATTGGCTCCAGACGACCCCCTTGTAGAAAAAATGCATTTGTGGATCGGAGTCATGTCAGGAGAGTCTCAAAAATCCCCACACAAATGCAGGGAGGTTTACAAATTAAAAGCATTTGACAATTCATATATCAATGTAACAACTTCCAAATATGTATTTGATGAAAATTGCAAATACCTGACGATTGTGAATTTTTATTGCATATATTTAAAACAAGAAATATTTGCATGCGCATCACAAATATGTTTACAAGTCTTATATATATATGTAACTCCTCAAATACATTTGTGAGTCCTTTTTTGTGCATTTATCCATTATGAGATTGGCTCTATGGCTCCATAACTTGGTAGTTTCTGTGTATCCAGCAGTTGCTGTGGCTGATAGCAACTGCTGGATACACAGAAACTAATTTACAACCCTGCTGGTCTTTGTCTCTCGTCCACCAGAACAGGAACAGAGTCCTCTGGATCCAGTGTGTCCTTCAAGAGTGATCGGTCAAAAGAAGAAATCATCTATTTCAGAAAAAGACTCTCTCGTCTCAGGTCAGCTTTTATGAACAATGGTCTTTATTAATTAACATTTCTCTCTCTCTCTCTCACACACACACACACACACACACACACACACACACACACACACACACAGTTGGTGTTAAATAAACTACTTGTTATTACTATGTGATATAGAGCCATATAAATCAGACTTACTGTAGTTTACTGTTTATTATCAGGATCATTTTCAGACTCACAAAAACATAAATGCAACAGCAGGATTTTGTCTAATTAAGTTTTAATATCCTCTTTTATTGTGAAACATATCTGAGTGTTTGATTCTTCACACTCTTTAGAATAAATGAGGAAAGGTCAGAGCAGTTATCTAACAGTCAGCTGCTCACTGTTTGTTTGTTGATTAATTTATCAACATTTAGTACAGACACACATTACATGTAGAAGCTCTTTTGTCTTTTTCCACTCACTGTTCTCATATTTGAAATCCTGTTTCTTTAGTTTTTAATGTTTATTTTCATACTGATGAAGGAGTTTCATAACACTGTTTATTACTTTCTGCAGGGAGGAGGAGGAGATGAAAGCACAGTGAGTATAATCTGTTAACTTCATAAAGATTCTTTCACACATAATATATTGATGAAGCTGTGAACATCATTAAAACCTCTTTAGTTTAGTTACATTTATCTTTTCTGTCACTTGTATCTGTTGTATCCACACTGACTTGTCCACTCCTAGAATAATCTTATAATAATCTATTAATAATCTAATCATAACTACTTTTAAAAGAGAACAGAAATCCTTCATTGTGAACAGAATCAGTTCAGTTTTATTTTATTTGTACAGCGGCAAATGTTATGACTGATCGGTGTATCTCTGTAAAGACGTGGACACAACCGTCTCTGATTTCCTGTTGATGAGTCCCATTTCATCCAGTCCAGACATTAGCCAGGAGCAGCCTTAAGTCCAAACTGGGCCAGCATGGTTCCTTAAAATTGAACCCAAACAGTCTTTTTTAAAAGAAACTCCCCCCGCCCTTTTTTCCCCACGCACCCATTCCCAAATGAACTGAACTTTTCTGATGTCTGCTTGGTAGTTTCTGTGTATCCAGCAGTTTCTGTGGCTGAACTTCTAATTTTCCACCATCTCTTGTCTCCAAAAAAACAGTATCAGCGAAAGGTCTGCTACATCCAGTGCGTCCTTCGAGAGTGATAATTCTAAAAAAGTCAAAGTTGATTTCAAAGAAGGACAGTCCCCTCCCAGGTAAGCTTTTATCAACTTTAAAAACGAACTGCATTCATTCAAATTTGCACGCACACACACACATTTGACCCTCCTCCCTACTTCATAGCAATGTCACACTTCTTCTGTCTGTCAGGTTTTTTAACATCTAAAACAATGTTTGATTAAAGTAAGTTTCAGGCAGCAGCAACTGATGCTGTTGTTTGTCTGCACAGTCTCCTTGGTCTTGCCCTAAAGTGCATAACTTTTTAGCTAAAATGCAATAACTTCTTTATGACATTTTACTTGCAGGCAACTCCACTACTCCATTAGCTAGGGTTAGCTAATGGCTATTTTAATGACAGGTCTTTCCCCACCATGTGTATTCCACCAAAACAACAATATTCAGTTTCCTGTCATAGAGGACTATCCAGATACATTTGAGAAGCTGAAATCAGAGAATCTAGACATTTATTCTTAAATTGACTCAAATGATGATCAAATTGGACAACTAATTGATTGATTGACTAACTGTTGCAGCTCTGCTGTCATTTCCAGGAGAAAAGATCTGCCTTTATAAATGATATCACATAACTAAATTAGCCATCAGGGTTTGAATAGACAGGCTAATAATTGACACACATCAGTCCAACTTCTGCTTCTTGCTTTTCATTGGTAATTGTCTTTAGTGTGGTGCATGTAAGAGCCCGTAACAATTGTCCATAAATCTCCATACAGCCAAACATTTCACCAATACAACAACACAACAATCACTGGTGGAGCTCGATACAAAGCTATTGTAAATGGGTGCAGTAATAAAACATTAAAGAGAAAGAAAATGAAATTCAAATGTAGTTTAATGAGTATATTTGTTCGTAGGCTACAAGCATCATTTGAAAATATGAACTGGGAGTACTTGAGTTTATATATTGATGGAATGGATGTTATATTATTTAGATTTAGAAAGACACAAAAGGACACTGAAAATACAATGACGGAAAATAAATTAAGACAAAAATGGCTTTATCCCATAAAGCACAGACACGTTTCCCTCATCATGTTTGCTCGCTTCCTGTATAGACCGACATGTGTCGTATTGATAACCATCATCGCTCTAATTAGATGCGTAATAATACTGAGTGGATAGCAGCAGCTAACCTTTTCACAGTATTTACATTCATCTTTTCTGTCCCTTGTATCTGTTGTATCCGATGATACATCCTGTATCTGATGAAGGAGCTTCATAACAGTGTTTACTACTTTGTGCAGGGAGGACTGGGTTTCTTCTTCTTCCTCCTCATCAGAGGAAGACGTTGCAGCAGATGATGGTGATAGGGATACGTGAGTCAGCCTCATATACATTCTACATCATTAAAGCTCTTTTCTGCCCCTTTTATCTGTTGTAACTCACTGACAGACACCCAAATCATTTAACTTGCTGTGTGGAACTTGTCTCACCCTCTGGCAGGGAAAGCAATTACACAAACACAAAACTCCAGCACACTGTATTACAGTCAGTCCTTAATACAGACCCAAAGTTCAACTAACATTGAATGAGTCCTTATATGACCAAAAATGAATCTTTGGGATCCAAAAATACTCAGTTTGAGAGAATAAACCATAGTAAGTCTAATAGACAAGCTCTGTGATTCTCTGACTGGAGTTCAATTCAATTCAGTTTTATTTGTATAGCACCAATTCATAACAGAAGTTATCTCAGGACACTTTTCAAATAGTGCAGGTCTAGACCGAACTCCTTATAACATTATTTACAGAGACCCAACAGTACCACCATGAGCAAGCACTTGGAGACAAGGGCAAGGAAAAACTGCCTGTTAAAAGGCAGAAACCTAGGACAGATCCCTCGGCTCTAGGTGGGTGGTCGTCTGTCTCGACCAGTTGGGGTGAGAGAGAGAGAGAGAGAGAGAGAAAGACAGACAGACAGACAGACAGTTGCACAACAACAACAGTAGCAACAACTACACTAATAGTAGTGACTGATGATCATGAAGATAAAAAGACAAAGAAAAATAATTTAGCATACATTGTTGAACAGGGGAACAGTATAACTGAAGATGCAATCTTAAAGGTTTAGTTCACCTGAACTTTACTAAACTGTACACTGTAAAACATAGTGCTCTCATTTATATGTAAAATTCTGGCATTGGAACTTTAAATTTAATTTAAATTTAGTTTAATAAAATGACCTTTGCACTTGCGTAATATTCCTATTGTCCTAGAATAATGTAATAATAATTCATGTTAAAGTGAACCCGGGTGGTCTTTCTCTCTTGTCTAACAGAACCAGTGACAGCAAAGAGTCCACTACATCCAGTGTGTCCTTCAAGAGTGATCGGTCAAAAGACAAAATCATTAATTTCAAAGACGGATCATCCGCTCTCAGGTAAGCTTTCATTAATATTAATATGTAACTATGTTCATTAAGATTTTGCATACACCCACACACAACCTCCTCTGTACTTTGAGGCTCCATATCAACATCACACTACCTAATTCACACAGCGACTCTGTGTCAGGGAAATGTAAACATAAGTAGACAACTGATGCTGTTGTTTTTCTGGACAGTCTCCGTAGTCTCATCTACAAATGTTGCTCTGTAATGCCTTCCTGTCATTAGCCTTATTGAAACTGCTGCAGTTTTTTTGCGTCTGCCAAAGAGGACAAACAAACAATGTTTTAGCTTGTTTGTGAGCAAGATTACGGAAAAACTACCGGCCGGATCAAACTTGTTGGAAGGTTATAGCATGGGTCAAAGAAGAACCCATTAAAGTTTTGAGCAAATCCGAATCAGTGGTGGATAAATATCTTTTGTTAATATTGTGTGAAAGGTCAACTAACGCCGATGTCTATGGCAAAAGAAGCTGAATTCTACGCACATGAGCAAACCTGCTGTAATTTAAGTGGTGTGCCACCTTAAAGAAGAAACAACTAAACTAAGACTTAGAGTTCAATAAATTCTGTTTTATTTAGTTTGGTTTTGAAATCTTAGTCATTTTTTACCATCTGATCTGAGCTGAAAGGAACAGCTTTATACTTCTTGTTAATTAATTAATGTATTTAGTTATATATTTTTTACTAGTCTTCAGACCATCTCTGAGTAAAACCTTTTACCCCTATTTACATTTCTAAGCAAACTCATTTTATTTTTATTTGTACTAGTGAAGTTGTGAAGAGCATTAAAACGTCTGTCAGTAAAATATTTCTAGTGTCCTAGAACAATCCCATAAGATGGAGCGGGATTAATGGTGAGAAGTATCAGGAACTGATCCAGTGGAAACAGAATGAATTAACAATTCTGTGTTTCCAGCAGTTGTGATTGTGTACTTTAAATAATGTTCTGTGTTTCTATCAGGAAAAAGGACGAGACAAGTCTTTCTACAACCCCAGTTGTTTGAAGTGGGATGGAAACATCGTCGATGTAACCACCAACAGTTGGTTCAAACACTTCATCAGCCCCTCCTATCCCTACTCTCCCTGTCTGTCTCTTTCTCTCTCCCCCACACCCACCCCCCCCCCCCCCCCCCCCCCCCCCCCCCCCCCCCCCTCTCTCTCTTCTCTAACACACACACACACACACACACACACACACACACACACACACATAGAAAGCAGTTGGAAAACAACAGACGAGAGCTTTACTTTGGTCTTGAGAAGCTGCAGCCTTTATTCACAGACAAGCTGTAGCCTAGCATTAATGATTTCTCTTTATAGTTACGTCTGGTATCAGAAGTATTGTAGGCAAAAACTCTCAAAGTCCACCGAGCACAGCTTTATAACGTCTGTGTCTTATATCCACACATCTTCAAATCCCACCGAGGGTGTTTCAGAAGGGGAGTGTCTTCAGGGAGTGTTGCCTGCCATACGTTGTGTCAGAGTGCTTCTCTATTTAAAATCTCCTTTAACCTGCCTCTGACTGACTGACTGACTGTCTTGGTGCCACAATGTGTGAAATTCGACATGGAGTTTATGCACTGTATTTTATTTTGAAAATTGACTGGATTCTCTTTGCTGCGTCTGTGTCTGACTTCCTGTCAATCTGCTCTGTGTTTGCTTGACGTGAATGGGTCGTGGCTTCCGTCAGAAATAGAACAGCCTCGTATTCTATGCAGAGCAGAGCACAGTGACGCTTCTGAGACGCGACGCGGTGCTTCAGGTGGAATTTAGACAATTGGCTAGGACGGGCAATCAGCTGTGGTGACCACGGCAGAGCTAGAACATATCGCAGCCTTGCCCGGTGGAATTTGGGGGATTGTTAAAGTCCAGTGTACTCGATACATTGAGCGAATACTGATGTCCAATCGAGTAGGTAATTACCTAGTTATCACCGTTAAGTCATTTTACCATACTGAAAAAACTCTACTGCTTACTATAATATGTTTAGTCACTTGTTCATATATTTTCTCAAATGTGCCTTACAACTTATTACTTTACAATTTACATTACTGCGTTTCAAATTCAGCAAATATCTCCTCACGGTCCGTTAGCTGTCGGTTCTGTGTGTGCTGTAAAGAAAATCTGATGGTTGTACACAGTCGATCAAATTAAGTCACACAACGCTTACTTGTTATTCCAGCCATGATGTGTTTCTTACGTAACGTTATATTATGTCCTCACTGATATTCAGCTTACTCTCTAGGTTGTTAAGATCTACTGTTAATAATAATACATTTTATTTGTAAAGCACTTTTCATAAAAGAATCTCAAAGTGCTACAGAAACCAAGAAACAAAAAATAACAAAAAAACAAAACACTAAGGGCAGGAACACATTAAAATCAGCAACCAATAATAATACAAGTGATAAAATACATTAAGAAAAACAGCTAAAAGATGAGTTTGAAGTGCATGGTGAAATGAGAAAAAAAAATCTAAGGACAACTTAAGAACGCCTGCCTGAACAAAAAGTTTTAAGCCCTTTATTAAAAGTGTCCACAGACTGGGGTTTTCGCAGATGTTCAGGGAGGGAGTTCCAGATGTGAGGGGCAGCGGAGCAGAAAGCTCGGTCTCCCATGGTGCGGAGTCTTGAGCGTGGATGATGGAGGAGGTTTGTGCTTTGGGACCGGAGGTTACGGGTGGATGAGTGAGGGGTAAGGAGGTCTTTGAGGTATTGCGGGGCATTGCTGTAGATGTACTGTTGTTATGATGTTAGTGTAACGCTGGTTATTCTTAGCGTTAACTATAAACTTGAATGTTACTGTATTAAAACTACTTTTGGGTCGTGGGTAAAGCAAGAGCACGGGGACAACTTCATCTTGGTTACTCGATACACTTTAATGTCCGCTTCAACAGTAGGACAACTGAACAGTGCTGTTCATCATATCACTCCACCAATCTTAACCATTGGTAACATTACAGGTAACATGCACTTTATGTAGTTCCTCATCTACACTGCAGAACAGAATCCAAATACTTATATATGTAGTTACTATTAAATGATTTATGCAAATTCAATAAACATAATGAAGTAATTCACAATATAAATCTCATCTCATATTAGCTACAGTAGCAGGAGAGTTGTGAGTATTCCTGCCGGTAGCTGTGTGCGGACCAATGGTGCGGACTCTGGGAAACCATGTCGTCCTCTCTGCATGCTACCTTCACAGCAGCAACTGTACTTAGCTATGTTGTGGGTTCTGGGTACATTACTTGCTGTGTCATGTCATGGCTACGTTCACACTGCAGGTCTTAATGCTCAGTTCTGATTTGCGTGGTTGTTCACATTATAATTTAAATGCCACTGCCGTCAGACTCCAGTGTGAACCGTCTGCGGCCCCGAAGTGTCCCTCATGTGACGCTGCACGCTGTGTTTACGGAAGTAAATATGGAAGCTACACATGTCAGCGTGTGTGCATCAATTCTGCAGTTGTTGTGCAATCGGACCCGACAAAATTATTGTCCATTGTTTTGATTTTGCCGCGTCCCGCCTCCTCCGTTGAGGATTGTGACGTCTGTCTCACTTCAATGACGTAAAAGTCGGATGAAATGCAACATGGCCGTTCAGACTGAGGTCGCTTTGAAAAACATCAGATTTATATCTGATTCAGGACCACATATGAAATTGGCCTGGATCGGATCTGAAAAAATATTATTTGTACTGTTATAAAAAAATCAAATATGGGTCACATTTGGGTAAAAAAGTCTGATTTGGGCCACTTTTGCCTGCAGTGAGAACGTAGCCATTGTTAGGTATAGATCAAATATGTATGTTATCACTGGGGATGGGCATATTTGAGTACTCACTTTCCATTCAGTTTAACAGGAGCATATCAATTAATAATTAGTGTAATTTGTGCTGCAGCAAACATAATAACAAATAATACAATAACATAGAAACAAACAGCAATTGGCATGAGCATTAAATCATATATCACGTCATTAAGCTCCTCTGGACTGCACCAGTAACATAAAATGTCCAACATTATCACCACCACCATCCCACCGTCATCCCCAATAGGCCTACTCTAATAGTGGACTTATTGACACCAGCTGTTACCTCTTCCACTCACTACATTTTTAAATACCTGCTGGGTGAATATTGGATTTAAACTACTGAACTGTACTGCCACTATCTTACTGGCCACCTAACAACCTCCAGTCACCATTAACACTTTGAGCCAGCTAATCTTCTCTCTCACTACAGTATAACTTTAAAATATGTCTTTATTTGTACAGCACTTATATAAACAAGGTTATAAAACGCATGAGAAATAAGAAAAACATGCTAGAAGATAAATAAACTATACAAAAATACTGTTAAAATATGAGAATAAACTAAAATAAAGCCAAACAGAAAGCAACACCAAAGTTTACAAATCAGGCATCTCAAAAATCTTTCCTGTAAATTTATTATTTAAGCAGATTTAAAAAAGATAATGTACTGACAACCCTGATCACCTCGGGCAGATAATTCCAGAGTCTATTGCCCCGATGGCAAAATGATCTGTATCCACTGTTTTTACCTTTTGCCTGATCCACAAATGGTTAATCATCAAACTAGTTGTTCTATGAGTTTAATGTTACATAGCTTGCCCTGTGCGTTCATTTCATCTATTTTTTTAAACATCACTTTCATGCCTGGTCTCCATTCTGCCTGTAAGCACTCGATACATTGAACGAATACTGATGTCCAATCGAGTACTCAAATACGAGCCCGTCCCTAGTTATCCCCGTTATGTCATTTTACCATACTGAAAAAACTCTACTGCTTACTGTAAAATGTTTACTCACTTATGTATTCATACATTTTCTCAAATGTGCCTTAAAACTTATTACTTTACAATTTACAATGTATTACTGCCCTCCTTTTATTTTATTTGTATTTCCTTTAATCTATTTGTTTACTTATTGTTTTTGAGTGTTATTCAATTGTTTTTCTTTGCCTCTGTAAGTACGTAGCTTTTAAAATGTACTGTATAAATGAAGGGTTGGTGGGAAATTTGACTTGAGCTCAGTCAATAAGGTCTCTGTCTCTCTCTCTCTCTCTCTCTCTCTCTCTCTCTCTCTCTCCAGATTGTTCATCATTTTGCATTTTGGGCAAATCTATAATTTAAATTAATATTAAAGATTATTAATATCACATGTTTGTAAACCGTATTGACTGCTCTGTTTTATAACACAGTGGTGTAGCTTTCTGATTCTGAACATTAATTATTTTCATTTCTCCTTACAAAACTGTCTTGAAAGATCTGAGCTGCATTTTTTTTCCTCTCCTGTTCCTCATTAAAGTCACCTTAATCTTTTATTGCTCTGGCGGTACTTGAGTCTGCACGACTGCTGCCTGGATGGGATGGATGGATAAAGCACTGAAGCTGCTCCTCGTGGGCAGCATGTGGGGATGAGGCAGCAGCATCAGGTACTATAATGGTGAGAATGGGAGAAACAGAAGGGAAGGGAAGAAGGGTCTGATTGAAGATATAGTACTGATTCCTTTTGGTAGAGGGTAAGAAACAATATACTGGTAAATAATATCTTTCCAAATACAACAAGGTTCTTTTTATATCTTTAGCTATAATTTGGAGGTATACAAAGACTCTTCCTTATTTAAAATAAAATATTTAGAAGGTAGACACCATATTTTCCTCTAGTCCAGGTCTGGATGGAGGTTATTGCAGTAGGAAACTACATTTGGAACACTTTTACATAATTTTTTTTAAAATAAGACACTTATTATATCAGTTATTATTTGTTACGCCCCTGTCTAGGGGGAAGGAGTGCCACATAAATGTGTGATGAAAATGAACCAATAATCCTACCCCGATTCCCAAACGAACAACTAACACAGTGTTAACAATCAAGTGATGTGATTTATTTACAAACAGGTGAAACAAAGTGCAACAAAAACTAAACAACAAACTTCAGGGTGAACCAAGGCCAAAACAACAAACAAAACAGGGCTAACTTCCTTAATCAAAATTATTTATCCCTATCAATAGAAATAAAATACAGTTACTAAACCTAACTCCCTATCCTAATGAAAAACAGGAGAAAAGTTGTACAAAGAAAATGGCAGCTCCCCCTTACGATACAAACACAATCATACAAAAACACTATCTACTAAGATCGTAACAATTCACTCTATCGCAAAAACACACACTCTACAACCGAGGACAGAAGGGTGCTCTATAACCGAGGACAGAAGGATGCTCTACAACCGAGGACAGAAGGATGCTCTACAACCGAGGACAGAAGGATGCTCTATAACCGAGGACAGAAGGGTGCTCTATAACCGAGGACAGAAGGATGCTCTATAACCGAGGACAGAAGGATGCTCTACAACCGAGGACAGAAGGATGCTCTATAACCGAGGACAGAAGGATGCTCTACAACCGAGGACAGAAGGATGCTCTACAACCGAGGACAGAAGGATGCTCTACAACCGAGGACAGAAGGATGCTCTACAACCGAGGACAGAAGGATGCTCTACAACCGAGGACAGAAGGATGCTCTACAACCGAGGACAGAAGGATGCTCTATAACCGAGGACAGAAGGATGCTCTACAACCGAGGACAGAAGGATGCTCTACAACCGAGGACAGAAGGATGCTCTACAACCGAGGACAGAATGATGCTGCTGCTGAAGGTTCTGTCGAAGAACTTCTGTGTGGTGCGGCGTTTTGAATCCCCGGCGGATGTTGCGGCTCCCTGGGAGAACCAATCAGCAGGCGACACTCCACCAGCCGAGCCCACGGCATGGACCAGTCAGAGCTGACCTACGGGTTGCCGTCAAAGATCTACAATCGACAGGCTGCACACTCCTGCAGAGGAACAGGGACAAAAACACCAACACACGCCACAGACGGAACCAATACCATAACATAATACTAATAATACGGCCAGGGCCATAACATTATTGTTATTAGAGGAGAAACAGGCTCCAGAGGTGTACTGGGCGGTTCTATCAGGTCCAACAGAAACTGACAGACTAAACCAGAATCTTCAGAAGAAGAGTTTCACTTTCCTTCCTCATGTGTGACGCAGTTCAAGGACCTCTCAGGTTGTGCTTTTATTCACTGATGTATAGACTTATATTCTTTTGTTTTGTGAGTAGTAAAAAGTGCAACACAACCCTGTAGATGATTGATAAATATAACTTATGCATGTCAGGTGTCAGGTTAGGCAGTGTTTTTGAGAATGGTGAGGGGGGGGCAGAGTTGAGGGGTCCACTGTCATCTCCACAGTTTTGAGCGTGTTAAGCTGCAGGTTGTTCTGACCACAGCAGAAGGCCAGTTGTTCAACCTCCCGTCTCTATGCAGACTCATCACCGCCATCATGAGGCTGATGATGTTTGTGTCATCTGCTGATTTCATTCCAAACTTAACAACTTCACATCACATCACATCACACTATCATATATCAGATAGGGTTTGATGGATTGTGACACTTTTTCATCTAAAGATAGTCCACGGTGGACTTTAAGGTACGTTTGGGATCATGATCCTGTTGTAGAAGCTTTCCTCTTTTCAGCTTCAGTTTATTTTACAGGTGCTGTGATGTTTGCTTCCAGAATTTGCTGTATTTAGTTGAAGCTGTAACACAACCCCAAAGCACAATAGATCCACCTCCATGTTTAACAGTTGGGGAGGTGTGCTTTTCATGAATTTCAGCTCTTTTTTCCTCCAAACACCCCTTTGCTGATTGTGGTCAAAGAGTTTTTATTTTAACTTCATCAGTCCACAGCACTTGTTTCTAAACCACATCAGGGTTCTGTAGATGTTCTGTTGTGTACTTCTGATAATTTTATGATGTAGACACAGGTAAGGTTTTCTGCTACTGACTCATGAAGGTTTTGTTTCTATCACTGCACAATGGAACGGTGCATGACCACTCCTGAGTCTGCTAAAGGTTCCTGCAGGCTTTCTGCATTCACATGGGGGTTCTGATTTAAAATCACAGACCTAGGTCGGCAGATAGGCAGCCAGAAAGAGACGACTGGTATTCAAACCATTTATAACCCTATTAACTCCTGTAAAAACATACATACATTAAAGTCAGTTTTATTTGGATAGTGCCAATTCATAAGAAACGTTATCTCAGGACACTTTTCAAACAAAGCAGGTCTAAAGACCCAACAGTTCCCACCATAAGTAAACACTCGATGAAGCCGGCAAGGAAAAACGTCCTTTTAATAGACCACAGCTCTTAGCAGGACAACTGCAGCAGGCACAACAGCCTCTCAAACTGAAACTGGAAGTTGGTTCCAAAGAAAAGATTAGATTAAATAAAACAAATGAACTTTGTACCTAAAATATCTCTTATCAGGTGAGGAACAGTCATACTGGGCTCTCTTTTTGACTCGGTCTCCGATCTTCACTGTGGTCCTTGTGACACAGTGTCTTTCACCAACTAAAGGTATTGTAACTATGAGTTTTTATATCCTTTAATTAACTATTTAAGTATAAATTACTGTGAGCATTACTGTTTTCTTCATCTTGAAATGGGTAATGTTAGTCTATCAAAGAAAAAAAAAAATCTTATTCTGTCTTTATGTTAGGTTTGGTTGTGTGTCTGTGTGTGTATCTTTCCATACTACTCAAATGTTTTGTTCACATTTTGACTGAATACTCAAAGACGTCTTGTGGTTGCAGGGATTCATAATGTTTGAAAAACCCTGAAAAAATGTATTTTATTGACTGATTTGTTTTATACCGACTTCGGCTACAAGCAAGGTCACATTTGGCCTTTGGCTCAAAAACTGGTGTAACTAAGTTATAGGTTTAGAGAGAGCTTTGTTTTTTTTCTCACCAACCAAAGGTATTGTAGCAACATGTTTTATATCCTTTAATTAATTAGTTTATTCAATACTTTCATTCAATCTGGAAAAACAACGGGTCCGATTTTTTTCTAAAAAGTAAAAATTACTGTGAGCTTTACTGTTTTCTTCGTCATGAAATGAGTTATGTTAGTCTATCAAAGAAAACTTCAAAAACAAGTCTGTTAACATATATAAACACATTGTGTTATTTTATTATGACACTATGATCTGCTTCAGTTGATAATAGGAGCCACAAGTCTGCTGCAGGCCACATTTGGCCTTTGCTGTGGCTCAGAAAGTGACAAATCAAAACTAATCAAATCAAATGCAGATTATCACATCATACCCAATATCTATAAAGTTAGACCTTGTACATTATAAAATATCTGTTGACAGCTGAGGTTAAGAACGAAACTATCTTTTATTAAGATGGAAAGTCTTAAACCATTTCAGGACTATCAAACTTGTGTTTGAGTCCAAGTCAGAGAGAAATGTCAGAAACCTCAGAATATACCCTCCACTCACAGGTGGAGTCTGGCACATTGAGCTGGGTGAGTTTGTTGTGAATGATGGTGTTCAAGTCAAACAGGATTCTTGCATATGTCCCTGGAGAGTTAACTGCATCATCCACTGACCTCTTTGCTTGGTAGGCAAATGTCAGAAACAGGTTTACATACAAGGAACTGGCCTTAGTAAATGGGTGCATAACAATAAACAAAAATATAATAAAAAACGTAAGCAGATAGGCAGACATAGAGAGACAACAACATTTAACCATGAACTTTGAAACCTTGTAAAATAACAGATGAGGTTAGGATCAACAGTCATACTGCTCTCTTTCACTACATGGTCTCCAATCTTCACTGTGGTCCTTGTGACACAGTGTCTCTCACCAACTACAGGTATTGTAACTACAAGTTTTTATATCCTTCATAATATCTTACTCATCCATTGCAGGCAAAAAAAAAAAAAAGACATACAGAAAAATTTGGTCTAACATTTAACCATAATCTGCAGATTAATTACATAGCCTATGTGATCCACAAAGTTAGACCTTGTACCTTGTAAAATACCTGTTGACAGTTGAGGTTTGTTATAAATTGAATTGAAACTGAATTTCCACCGGCAAGCTGTAATGAGTCAGCATGAGGACACAGAGGAGAGACTTCATTTCCTCAGTTATTATTGTTCCTTCTATAGTCCTCACAGTTTTCCTTTGGGGAGCATGCTGAACCCCCTAGTGGGCTCACACACTCACAACCTCACTATTTCTAACATCCTGTCTACAGACCTGGTGACTGCCCTCAATCTTTCAAAGGAATCAGTAAAACCTGAGACTGTATTTATTTATTATGTGTGTGTGTGTATTTTGTGTTACAGCCCAACTGGCGAGGAGTCAGTATAACTATGGAGAGCTACAAGTCAACATTCGGACATGGATTATCATTCAACGGCCCTTTCTCCATCGTAAGTCATCGTGTTAGTTCATCAGTGTTTTACACTAATTTCATTTCACTTGTATCCACACTGACAGACACTGAAGTCAAATCAACTGTAAATTACTGTAAATATTATAATATATAACCCTCATAATGTTCCTGTTGTCCTAGAATAATCTAATAATAATTCATGTTAAAGTGAGAAGTAGAGGAAACTACTTTAAAAAGAGGAGAGAAATCATTCAGTGGGAACAGAATCAACTTTGACTGAACTTTTCTGATGTCTACTTGGTAGTTTCTGTGTATCCAGCAGTTGCTGTGGCTGATGGATCACAATCTAATTTACCACCCTGGTGGTCTTTGTCTCTTGTCAACCAGAACCAGAAGATTCTTCATTGGTTCCTACAACAGTGATCAGTCAAGAGATTTCAAAGTACGCTCTCCTTCCAAGCAAGTTTTTATGAACATTAAAATATAAATACATTCTTTATTTTTTTGATGGTAGCTACTAACAATACCTGATCCATCTTTGATTTTGATACTTATTTTATATTAAAGGATCAAGGTGAGGATTTAGTGGCATCTAGCAGTATATAGTTACTGTTTTCAGATCCTTTGTATGGTCTACCAGAACCAGAACCAGAACCAGTATCCGTAAAGAGTCCCTTATATCCAATGTGTCCTTCAAGAGTAATAAATCAAATAAAAACACCATTTCAGTGGATGTATCAACCACCAAATGTAAAACCCATCCTTGTCTGGCTACCCCACACCCATTAGTACTCAGTGGGCCGTCGACTGTGGTAGAATTTACCTCTGTGTGTTACACTGACTTTATTTCCTCAGTGATTATTGTTCCTTCTATAGTCGTCACAGTTTTCCTTTGGGGAGCATGCTGAACCCCCCTAGTGGGCTCACACACTCACAACCTCACTATTTCTAACATCCTGTCTACAGACCTGGTGACTGCCCTCAATCTTTAAAGGAATCAATAAAACCTGTGTGTGTGTGTGTGTGTGTGTGTGTGTGTGTGTGTGTGTGTGTGTGTGTGTGTGTGTGTGTGTGTGTGTGTGTGTGTGTGTGTGTGTGTTACAGCCCAGACTGGCCAGGAGCCAATATGACTATGGAGAGCTACAGGTCAACATTCAGTCATGGATTATCAGACAACGTCCGTTTCTCCATTGTAAGTCATCATTGTGTTACTCTGTCACTTTAATATCTATGTTAGCTAACACGCTGCTATTGCTGTGTGATCTGTTTAGACAAATACTTATTGTTTGTCAGTGTTTGACACTAATTTAATTTCACTGGTATCCACACTGACAGACACTAAAGTTCAAATCAACTTCCTTTTATTGAAGATCAACAACAGTAAATATTATAATATATAACCCTCATAAATGTTCCTGTTGTCCTAGAATAATCTAATAATAATTCATGTTAAAGTGAGAAGTAGAGGAAACTACTTTAAAAAGAAGAGAGAAATCATTCAGTGGGAACAGAATCAACAATTAGTTCACTTTTTTTTTTTTTGTTTTTTTGTGTATAGTTGTTGGTGTGGGTGATGATTCACAATTTTATTTACCACCCTGGTGTTCTTTTTCTCTTGTCCACCAGAACAAGAACCGAACCAAATAGAACAACTACGAGCTTACATCCAGTGCTCCTTTGAGAGTATTTGGTCAAGAGAAATTCTGTTTATTTCAACAAAAACCCCCCAGGTAAACCTTGAACATTAGTTCACAACAAAACCAAGCTTATGAATGTGTGGAATTTAGAAAGGTTTATTGCACGTAATGAATAAATGAAAACTGATGTGGTGTACTGTAGGAGGGATGAATGGATCGGGAAAGAGTTGGGGGTTGAGGGATTAAGGGAAGAAGGGTTGAAGGTTGAGGAATGAAGGGGTATCAGAAGGAAGGCTGGGGGATGAACAGATGGAAGAAAGGTGGGTTTGTTGGCGGATGGATCAATGGGAGGAAGGGTTCGGCGAGATGGTAAGAAGGAACCGAGGGGGTTGTGAGACTGAGTCGAGGATGGAGGGAACGGATAAGGTGTGCTTAAATACGTACCTCCACTCAAAAAGCTTTTTCTTATGTTTGTGGTTCCTAAAATGTCAGACCTTTACTTTACTTGATCTGTGCAAAGTTTCGAGACGTGTTATCACCTCCCTCTACTGAAAGGGGAGATGCCTGTTCCATGTCCAAGCTATAAAAGTATGAATCGGCAATAGACACCTAATCAATAGAAATAATTACAATAGAATATTAATAGTTTGACTTAAATACATTCGATTTGCATATTGCACTTGGCCATATTGTGACTTTGATACTATTTCCATTAATTGTGCAGCCCTACGTTTCTAGAAACGGTTTCAACTTTGTTCACTTAAGTGTCTCCATGTCTGATCAGCTGTTTTCGCTCAGTGTGTGTGATTATCTTTGTTCCAGTGTCCTTATGGAAAGTTTACGTTCCTCTGAATCCAGCTCAAGGAAAAAGATAAAATGCTCAAGGTAATTTTTTACTAACATTATAATGTTACTGCATCATGGGCATTTTGTACACACATTCATATTTATTTTATGTGCATTCATTTAAATTACCCAGTTTATTTGAAGCAGTAAACCTCAGTGTGTTTAATAAGACACTCTAATCAGCTATCCGACATTCAGTAACCTCTGTTGCTTTATTCCACACATTTTACACTCATTTGAAATCAAGTCTCTCTTGATTGTAATGTTTATTTTAAAACTTATCAAGAAGGATCCTAACTTTGATTATTTCTCACTGTAGGTTGAAAGATCGTGTCAGGAGCTTTTTGACAGACAGTTTCAGAAGACTCCAATGAGACGTGAAGGTGTTTTCATTTACATTCCTTCACACACATTCCACAATATATTGATCCCGCTATGAAGATCATTAAAACTTATGTTTTCAGTATACTTAAGCAAACACTAAAGTCATTAAAATCAACTTCCAATTTCTGGAAGATGAAAACAATTGTAAATGTCAGGACCTCTGCAACCTCGTAATATTTCTATAAACCTAGAATGAGAAGTATCAGGAAATTACTTTAAAAAGAAAAATCACTTCAGTGGGAACAGAATAGATTTGTTGGTGTGTTTGGATACTTTTAATCTCCCACAATGGTGCTTTTATGGATTTTCCAAAGGTATTTGATTTTGATAACCACTGTAACCTATTGATAACATTTGATCAAATAAATTAAGTGTTAATGGTAAATTTGATCAACTTGTTCAGTCTTTATGTAGTATACCTGTTGCATGTGTGAAAGTGAATATTTGAGCTATATCAGAGCTAAAGCAGTTGGTAAAGAGCTTATTAATAGTATAAAACTATAAGATCATTACATTATCCAGGAGATAAGAAGGGTTGATTGGTTGTTTGAACTTCTTGTTAGATGTATTTGTCTATTGTAGATATTATATGAGACTATGTATTGATAGATAATTGTAATATCAGTACATTTTGCAGACATTTCTTTCTTATTTTATCTATAAAGAGTTTCTCAAATTAGTTTCCACAAAAATTACGCATTCACATAATCTATTATCTTAATATAGAATCACATATTGAAGGATAGAAATATTTATCCATATTGTTCACCCCCACTTGCAGCTTAAATCTTACTGTACCTACAGTACAAAGTTTAAATAATGTTCTTTGTGTCTATCAGGAAACTGGACAAGTGAAGTCTCTCTACAACTACTGGCCAGAGAAGTAGTGTCCACTCATCCTGCAATTGAATAGCTAACTTTTCCACGCAATAAAAAAAACAAAGTTTCAGAGTTTAATCTGTTTGTCTTTCATTCATATTTTGTTCATATTAATTTAACATTATAAAGTGCCTGCTGTCTAAATGACTTTGCTATTTAAATAAATGCTTACCTTAAAGAGGCTAGCCTAACCACAGACCCTTATGATTTGGTTGGTTGCTGAGCCTGCAGGAAAACGCTACTTTATTGTTGACTGTAAACATACTGTACAAGACATGAGACACATATGACAGTTAGCTAGGTCTAGGAAAGGTACGACTTGTAGTTCCTCAGTTGGAAAAGTTGTTAAACAGCTAATGCAATATGAATCCACACATCTCACTGTTCCATTCATTTGGGGAAGAAAAATGGAAGATACTCAACGCCAATGTTACCCAAAACAAAATGAAGAAGATACCAATCTAAAAGCACTGGGTCTAACAGTGGAAACAGATCAGCCATACCTGGCAGCTTCTTCTGATCTTGAAAATACAGTACAGCAATACAGGTGTTATATTTATAGAAGTAGTAAAATGTAAAGGGAAAAGCGTACAACAGACGTCAGCTTTCAAGTGTCTAAGTTCCAGTCTTCTCTTTGGGGTTAAACTACATGCAACTAATTTCCTGATGAGTGTGAGGAAGAAAATTCACATTTTACAGACTTGCTAACCAAAGGACATGTGACAGCCGACACTTTTGTTTTTGTTCAAAACTCAACACATTGTGCATTTATTCCATTACATGATATATTTATGTAATCCCAGCCAATCTTCTTCAGTACAGCCACACAACAAACAATAATCCTGTTTTATTTACTGTGTTCCAACAGAGATACGAAGGGAGTGAAGAATCTTCCATAATATTCTCCCCATTGTTTTTCCCCCACTGTCTCCTGGATAAATACTCGATACTACAAGGTTATGTTGTGGCCATTGATTCTAATGGATGAATCTCTGTTCCAAATGACACAAACGACAGCACAAATGTACAAACAGTTGATTTTATTCTCACAGAATAATCCAACAGAGGGTGCAGTGGAGCATCTTCAGCGTAATAAATGAAGCGGAGGGATAAAAAGGATGTAATCAGGGTGGGAATAAAGTGCAGGTACAAACACTGACTGAGTCACGGTGACGTTACAACAAAAACTCATCATGAACTTCTAACTGAGGACAGAGTGAGAGGGCTGCACAGTGAATCCAACACTGTCTTTTCTCACATCAACTCACTGATAGGATCAGTTTATTAGAATTAATGAACAGTTACAAATATTGGAAAACTGCACTGTAACTTCAAACGGAAGCAAAAAGTAACTGACTGACATTATTATACTGAATTAAATTCAATTAAACTGCAGAAATCCAGATATTAAATGTAAGTTTGTGTATTTTTGATCAAACCTGGAAGGTCTGATTCAGATTTTTAAATATACTGAACAAATATTGATCTTTTTTAACTTCAATACATTTATAAACACAACTTTATTTATTAGTTACCTGGAACAGATTCAGATTATTAAAAGAAAATATAAATCAAGTGATTAAATTCTGATATATTATAGGTTAAACTACCCAGCAGTATATAAAGTTAGTTAATTAGCTCCAACTTTACCAGCTAATGTTTAATGATGTTTACAATTCATCCTTAATTATAATCCATCCATAATCATTTTGTATAATGAATATTTAATACGTATGTGCTTTTAGTGAATGAATACTTCTTCCACCACTGTAGCCAACAATTAAAAGTCATTAAATAAAACCTAATTGGCATTCTTAATGAATTAATAATCATTTAAATATTTCAACTGTTTGAAAATGACATTGTATTTCACTTTAATGATATAAACTGAATACAAAGTCTGTGTACATGAAGATCCTGAAGACATTTGTTTAATCAACAGCTCAATGGCACTGCTACTACTCTAATGATATAAAGACAATATAAAGTCTGTGTATACGTAGATCTTAAAGATATTAGTTTAATCAGCAGCTAATAATCAACACACACACACAGTTATAGAATATTTTATATCCTTTATTTTCTTATTTCAAATAATTAAGTAAACAAGTAAAGCTTTATTTATAAAGAAAGGTTTCACGGTATCGTTATTGTTTATGACAGAAGTTAATGTAAAAATACTTTACATTATAAAGTATAATTAATATAATGACAGGACAAACTTTAATAATAGAAATCAAAATCTCCATCATCAGAATATCAATCAGTATATACTGATGTCAGTTAGTGAAATGCAGAAAGAGAAAGTGTAATATATCAAATACAAAAGTAGCTGTATAACTTGAAGTATAACAGGTTACAATAAACCCATAACAATAAGTTCCACATGAACAGTGATTGAGGATTAAACTGTAGGAAGAGTGGCAGCTGCAGCAGAAACGTTTCCATCCCACCTCAGATAATAAACTTCAGGACTGCAGAGACTCTTGTTCCTTTAACTGAAACACAGAACATTATTTTAACTGCATACAGAAGGTACAGTAAGATTTCATCTGCAAGAGGAGGTGGACAATATGGATAAATATTTCTATCCTGGAATATGTGATTATTTATCAGGATAATAAATGTTGTGATTTTTTATGGAAACTAATTTGAGAATCTCTTTATGGATAAAATAAGTTGGGAATCTGACAAAAAAATCTGAAATTACAATTATGTATAAATAAATAACCCAGTGTTTGTACACAGCCCTGGCTCTGTAAATGGGAGACAAAGTGGATCAGACGGAGCCAAACACATCACTAACCTGTTACTCCAGCCAGGATTTATGTGTCAGGTAATGTTAAATGACTTGTCCACAGACATTCTCTAGTCTGTTAAGATCTGCTGTTGCTGTGATGTTAGCTATGTGAACTAGTTTGTTAACCCACAACACAGCTAATGTTAGTTATATAACTCATTGTGTCATTGTTCGCTCTATATCATGATATTGGATTTCTCCAGAATGCACCTCCTTTAACACTTATTGATCAAATATGTTATCAATACGTGATCAAAATCCAGAAATTGTGTTATCCAACAACTGCTGAACACACAGAGAGTCAGAAAAGCTGTAGTTGATTTGTGAAGGAACGTATATGAAGGGAAGAGGTTTGACCTGCTGATAGTCTGGAGACTGAAACATACTCTTGGAACAAAAACTAACAAGTTGTTATAACTTGCAGTGAGTAATAACAGTAATTATGATGAAGTATAAAAATAAGTATAGAATTGATATAAAAAATTAAATAAACAGAAACTTGATTTCAAATAGAAATTAGATTATAAAACATTCAGCCACAGCAACTGCTGGATACACAGAAACTACCAAGTAGACATCAGAAAAGTTCAGTAAAAGTTGATTCTGTTCCCACTGAATGATTTCTCTCCTCTTTTTAAAGTAGTTTCCTCTACTTCTCACTTTAACATGAATTATTATTAGATTATTCTAGGACAACAGGAACATTATGAGGGTTATATATTATAATATTTACTGTTGTTGATCTTCAATAAAATAAAGTTCATTGAACTTCAGTGTCAGTGTGGATACAACAGATACAAGTGACAGAAAAGATGAATGTAACTAAACTAAAGAGGTTTTAATGATGTTCACAGCTTCATCAATATATTATGTGTGAAAGAATCTTTATGAAGTTAACAGATTATACTCACTGTTCTTTGTTCATCTCCACCCTGCAGAAAGTAATAAACAGTGTTATGAAACTCCTTCATCAGTATGAAAATAAACATTAAAAACTAAAGAAACAGGATTTCAAATATGAGAACAGTGAGTGGAAAAAGACAAAAGAGCTTCTACATGTAATGTGTGTCTGTACTAAATGTTGATAAATGAATCAACATTTTAATGTCAGTAAACTCTCAATATTTGGAAGAATTTCTCCTCCAAAAGTTTTACTAACTAATAATCATTGTTTATTGTCCCTGTTACAAACTGTAAGTGTATTTTCCCTCCTCGTCACAAAGAAACAACTGGTGGTTCAATGCAGTTGTGAGTCACTCTCACATTATAAAGAGAGGGATGGACTCGAGTTGTCTTCCTTTGTCTCCAAACATTTCACCTGGATGATGTGTAGATGATGGAGATGTTTGCTGTGTGACTTTTAATGAACCTTTAATGTGAGTAGTAATTACTTTATATTCATTTACATCATATTATGGTATATAAGAGACAGGAAGGTTAGATTTGTTCAATAATATTATGTTGACTTATATGTCAGTCTAATCTTTATTTGAGAGATTTATGATACTTAAATGTGTAAATGCTGAACATGATTTAAAGACTGGATTAATGACTAGTTTTAGAAATATTGTAATTCGTTCTTTTTTTGTTTACAACCGTTTTATCATCATCCTAGAAAGGCAACATTGGATTGGTTAATAAATGGATGACTGATGGCAATCCTTGTTTCTTGGTGGTCTGTGGCTCCAGTTAGAAACTTAAACCCACAACAGTTCCAGACTGGATAATCAGACTGATTTCTCTCCTCTTTTTGAAGTAGTTTCCTCTACTTCTCACTTTAACATGAATTATTATTAGATTATTCTAGGACAACAGGAACATTATGAGGGTTATATATTATAATATTTACTGTTGTTGATCTTCAATAAAATAAAGTTGATTGAACTTCAGTGTCAGTGTGGATACAACAGATACAAGTGACAGAAAAGATGAATGTAACTAAACTAAAGAGGTTTTAATGATGTTCACAGCTTCATCAATATATTATGTGTGAAAGAATCTTTATGAGGTTATCAGATTATACTCACCGTTCTTTCTTCATCTCCTCCCTGCAGAAAGTAATAAACAGTGTTATGAAACTCCTTCATCAGTATGAAAATAAACATTAAAAACTAAAGAAACAGGATTTCAAATATGAGAACAGTGAGTGGAAAAAGACAAAAGAGCTTCTACATGTAATGTGTGTCTGTACTAAATGTTGATGAATGAATCAACATTTTAATGTCAGTAAACTCTCAATATTTGGAAGAATCTCTCCTCCAAAAGTTTTACTGAACTA